TGGGGGCCGTCATTGATCTTGCAAGTGGCCGGACGTTACATAGAAAGAGAAAGATAAAGAAGAAGAAAGAATGAGAAATAAAAGAGAAAGGTAACATTGGGATTGAATCTCATTCTCCAAGTTTTACTCTTTTTCATCTATTTCTATATTTAAAGTTGGTATTTTGAAAGTTATTTCTTTAAAAGCTATGAAAGTGTCGTTACTCTGGCGAATCATTTTCTTTTGGATTTCTTCTACTCTTTTAATTTTATCTTCTACCTTTGACTTTGTTTTCTAAAACTTTGGTTGTGGATTTGATGGATATGCTTATATTGAATGATGTTGAAGCAAGACTATGGACTAATTAATTGGTTTTCCTTTGGTACCAAATGAATATTAATAGTGTAACACTCTGTTACCGGACCAGTTTGTTAACATCATATATGGTATTAAGCGCAGTTACAATCACAGTAATTGAATTTAGAATTATGGATAAACTTCTTCTTTTCATTATTATCAAATATAACTAATTTCATAACCATTTAAATTCAATACTCTAATTGTGAAACAAACTCATTCGGAAGCGTATACATTCTTTTACAGCCTCTCCAGGCAATACTAACAATCTTAGGTTGTAAAATATCCTCCTATTAAACATTCTTTTATATTACAATAGACCTTAAACATACTTTACAATAAGTCTTTAATTATTACATGATAAGGCCCCAAAATTATTCCCCTTAGTATTCACAAAAAAACTCACTATACATGTTGGGGAATCGATTCCTCCTTGATGGGAATCGATTTCCACCCCTTTAAAAATAGAGTAAATACCATTTTCGGTCCTTAGCAAATTTCACGATACCCGCTTTAGTCCCTAGCAAATAAAAAGGCTATTCGTGGTCCCTAAAAAATTCAAAGTGGACCAATTTTAGTTATTTTGATGGACTAATGTGGGTCTTTTTTGGATTTGTGAGGGACCACGATTTCAACTAAATGGGTTCATTTTAAATTTCTTAGGGACCACGGATAGCCTTTTTATTTGCTAGGCACTAAAGCGGGCATCGTGAAATTTGTCGAGGACCAAAAATTGTATTTACTCTTAAAAATATTTGGCAGTAGCTTATATACCTCCCCTGTATTGCGGGAACAGATTCCCTTCCTGACGGGAACAAATTCCTGAACTAGGGAATTGATTCCCTCCATATGGGAACAGATTCCCGAGAATCGATTCCCTCATGGTGGGAACAGATTCCTGTGTGTAAAAATTATTGGCAATAGCCAAGTTTTCGTCCCCTGTTTTGTGGGAATCGATTCCTCTCCTGTGCAGAAGCATTTTGACAGCATTTAGCTGCATCAAGGGCTATGGGAATTTCTCCCAAACTTCCATATGACCTAATAGACATGATATTCAAGTGTGTAAGCATACATACAGCCAACTCTAGGCCTAATCACATGGTCCATCCATGGATTTCTCTTTGAATATCAACATACATCTCAAGTATATAATAAATGGAAATAACATCAAGTCCATTACATGTCAAGTAAATGTACATATGTAAATCCATATACAAGCCCTCCAAATGAATACATATACATCATATATCATTTGGCAAAACAATACTTAAGTTAACAACCTATACATATGTCTCTAACATATATATGTAGGCATAATCAAAAGAGGCATAGACATCTCTTATGCTCTCAAATATAAAACATCATGTGAAACACGAATGTACATCAAAATAAATCCCACAAACATGTAAAATCATGGCTAACTAGCTTGGCCTCGTACCCTGTGATGCTCCTGCACCGTTAGTACCTACACCTAAAATTCCCATAACGCAGGGTGAGAGATACATACATATCTCAGTAAAACAGGGGTCCTTGGAGATTCCTCCACCCCCCAAGTTTACTTCAGCATAAAAGCAGTAAACCATATGATACAACATATAAATATCCAGGCTATGAATGCTCATCCAAGCATTCCTCCAAAATGCTCATGTCGCAATAACAATAAACCCTACTGGCCAGAGAACCTACACTCTATGAATTACACAAGGAAACTTTCTTGATATACACCAAGTGAAAACACATAGCATACATATACATATATACAATGCATGGTGGAACAAGCACAGGATAAATCTCAAGGTTCAAAAGTTTACCTGCAGTAGCTTTCCTATCAAACCCTTTTTGAACACAAAGATTCAAAACAAAATACAAGCACACCAAAGCTGGATCCAATAAGATTCAAGTATCCATTGCATGCCTGCTCTATATTCCTCCACTGAAGTCACTCCTAGAATCCAATGGCAACAACGGATATAAATCACATATATCCACTTACGTGCATTGTAAGAAATCACCATTTTCCTATGTGTAATTTTCAAAAATGAGGAACAATGTGCAAATGGTGATTTAACTTCATTTCTACCATTTATTTTCCTTCCTTAGCATACTTTCCAACATAAACTAAGGCTAATTAACACTCCAACATCAACCTCATGAAAACTAGATGGAAATGAGGTTTTCTTACCTCAAGTGCCTCCACAAAGCCACAAAGAGTGGATTCCAACATTTGGGTGAGAGTAAATCACTCTCCTTTGCTCACAAAGTCCTCAAAACCGCCCCCCTTCCCAAGAGATTTTCTCACCACACATTCACTCTCAACAAATTATGAATTATAGGTTATGTTTGTATAGTGATTCTAAGCAACTGCCTAGTTCACACTTTGGTGATTTAATGACTACACAAAGAGTTGAAAATCCAAGCTTGAAGATAATAGGGTCACGGGTTCAAAGAAAAGGAACGTAGGAAGAAGAAGAGAAAATGACTTAGATTAGGATATTTTACATGGAAATATATATGTCCCCAAAGTCAAACCAACTTACGTGTATTCTTAATTATGCCCTCTCATCCATTTTACTCGTCTAACTCGATTTTAGATTTTCACTAAAATTATTTCATAATGCTCCATTCAATTATTTTTAAATTCCGGGTAACTTTTGCCTACCAGTAATTATACCAAAAATTCACTCTTTTTGCACTTTTTCCAAAAATGCCTTATTTTTAGCTAATTAGATTTTCAACCTAATTATACACTTAATTCCATGATTAAATCATTAATCATATCACAAATCCATATTACACAGGTTAGGGTTATTAAAAATGGAATATGCAATCTTTAACTGATGATTCTGATGTGAACTTACACACAAAGGTTTGAGTTCAGATGATAATATTGTAAAGGACACCTTACATGGCTTGAGCTCGGCCAATCAGAACATTTTACATGCAGAAACCCACAGAGGTTTGGGCTTTACTAGTTTCAATTAAAGGTTACATGTTCTTTTCTATGTTTGTTATTCATGTTATTATTTTCTTATTATAAATTTGTTTTGAGATAATGATATTTTTCGTTGTTGTAGCTGGATTAGTTATAGTTTGAAAACTCCAATATTACTAAGATTTATCTCACGTGTGTTAATATTTATGCTAATCTTTCCAGAAAATAAAGATGCTTAGTATGTGTATTCGTAGAGAGGGATGTAGCATCATTAATGATTTTGAGGACCGTATGGAGTTCAGAGTGATTTTGTGTACTCATGGAATGACTTTAGTTTCCTACCCCAATAGTGTAGAAACGTTTCCTTTCCATTTATATGATGATGTAATCTAGTGTAATCCAAATGTACTAGTGAACTTGATTTTTTGTTTAATTTATAAATAAATTTTAAAGGTGTTTTGACATATGCCTTCTTTTATAACCACTGCTTTAGAATCTCATATTCTTTAAAATAATATTTAAGAAGTAACGTGACTTTCTCTATGCTAGTTAGTTATAGAGGATATTACACACAAATACAAAATTGATGAACAACTAAGCAACTAACATATAAGGATAGAAACAGAGATTTACTTAATTCAAATATTATCTTGTCATTATCCTCAATCATTATGCCTAATACTCCCACAAGTTGGAGCATAGAGGTGACAAATTCCTAGCTTGCAAACTAGAAAGATAAAAAAAATAAAAATAAAATATTCTTGCGCGATGTTTTATTAAAAAAAATGCCCATGAAACATTGCTAAAAGGACAACTCAGGGATGCCAAAGACGTCGAAGAGATAAATGTTACTACAAAATTAACTCAACAAAAATGACTGGAAAAGGTGCTTGAAATATTATTTGACCAAATAAGAAGATTTTTCTAGAATAACATCAGCAGAAATATTATTCCCTAAAATAAACATCAAGAGGAATGTCCTTCGTTTAAATAGTCATCATTGGAAGCTTATAAAATAGACAACTACTAGAACAAATGAACTTTATTGGAATAAAAGAGGGGGGTTGTTGAAAACAAATGAAAGACATTGGGAAAGGGTGACGTAGAGCTCCCAACATTAGGGAACTCTGCAGCGGAAAGGTCACTGAGGATGAAACCGCTCTGATGATGAAACCGCTCTGATACCATATTGAAAATTCTAGAGTCAAAGTTATTTTCATTATTGGGAGACATCTATATATAGACGCACAAATACAAAATTGATAAACAACTAAGCAGCTAATAGATATGGATAAAAACGGAAGTTGTCCACACTCACATAAAAGTGAAAAATCTCGTTAGAAAGAAAATAGAGATAAAAAGTTAATGAAACTCACTCAATTTAAGTGCAGCAAAAAAAAAAAAAAAACTTCTACATCAAAACAAGTATATTTCTTCCTTTGTTTATTTTGATTTTGTGATTATTATACCAGCTGACATGTTTGGTTGAATTAATCCATTACTACACATCTTCATTTCTAGAAATAACTTTGTCTTTGCCCAAACTCTCAGTCGTCCAAGGATAACTGTTATTGCTAAGAAGACACCCACCTTACTGTAATACCAAACCCTTCTGCAGACTAATGTGAGCTGGTGCATAAAATAACCACCTAATATATCAACAAATGCAATAAACTAGAAACCTTTTTTTTTTAATCTGAAGCAGAACCACTTTGGACATTTGCAAATGTGTTCAAAAGTGGTTACAGCCTTTGGTACAAATTGTACGGCATGCATCTACATTGAGGGGACGCATGGTAAGCTTAATTTATTACGACATAAGTGTTCAAAACTCATCACTATTCATCCATAATCCTAGAAGGCCAAGATATGCATAAAAAAAGCTGGAAGCAATAACTCAAAACACTCTTTACAAAATGTTTTGCTTATCAAGAGATTACAAACTCACTCCAATCTAAATAGACCCAATAATTTCCTCAAAACATTACTACATTTGTTGGCAACCACTTATTTGTGGGCACGCTTCGAAATCGTTTCCCTCTACGGACCATTTGACGGCCTGAATACAGTATAACCATTGACACCACATGCCATATTTGAGTAATCTGGATAGTATGCATAACCATCATTCTCTGTGTTTCTCATGCCTAGATACAACAGATCAGAACCAGCCACCTGCCATTGGTTTGGAATCAACCCATCAACCTGCCCGTTGACGTAAGGTACACTACTCATCTGTTGTGGAATATAATCCCTCACTGAATCAAAATGCCCACCAGACGAGTTATACCCTCGTTGAAATCCATGATCATGATGATAACTTTGAGATCGCTCGAACCTGCAAGAACTGGTTGAGGATCCCAAATCATCATTTGCACCCCAGTCTCCAGGAAAAGTTAACTGTCGATTTAGCGACTGGGGTCCGTTATTCAGAGAATGGAATACTGAACTTGCCCGAGTGGTCTTCCCAATACCATGTTCATCATCGAGCAGGTCATTTATGATGTCAAGGTGTGGGAACTCATCCACCAACAACCCTTGGTTCTGACGACCTGATGTGCAGGCTGAGAACTCTGTTGACATGTTGCCCATAGATCTACTGTGTACTGGCCTGTACAAGTCATGGTTCTGAACATCATTAAGCCCATAGGGTTGATCATAGTGCATGTTTCTGCTCGATTCCCTTTGAGAACTATCAATCCATTGGGGACCATTCTGTAAAACATCCCGTGTAATCATGCCAAAGGGAACACCAGAGTGGCCAGCATTAGAGTCCATTCTATCAGAGCTCTGGGATAAAAATATTGGTGATGACACCAAGGAAGATGGTTGACAATAGCCAGGTGATGGGTTTACTCCTGAACTTGAGGAGCTGGAGTGGGTCAGACTGGCAGCATTTGAGGCCACAGGGTTCCCCATGATCGCATTTCTGTAGGATTGAGGAACATAACTATGAGTAGCAGGTGAGGGATCAGGACCCAACCTCCCAACTGCACTCACCGAGCGTGCAAGTAGGGGAGCCGTTTGAACCATAGAGGCAACGGGAGCAGTTGGCCTGGGACCAGGAACTAAAGGAGCACTTGAAGGTCTTGACATCATAGGCACTTGCACCATGGATCTTTCAGTTAATCTTGGAGTTGAAGTCTTCTGGATCTCAGTTTTGGACACAGTTGTAACATGTGAAGCAGAAGTAAAAGGTGAAGATGGATCTTTATCAGTCTGTTGCGAGCTACTTGAAGATGTTTTCCTGACATGAAAAGGATCTACAGTAGCACTAGTCTTGTGTTCCAACTTCATTTGAACAGACGAGGATAAGTTTCTAGTAGGACTTATGGGTGAGGGTGGCACAACTGATATCTTCTCTTTCTGTAGGCTTTCATTGTCAACAGGTGTCTCTATCTCAACTTGGTCTTTGATGCTCGGTTTCTTTTCAAGTGAAAGAACCTCCTCTTCCTATCAATTAGAAAAGAAAATGCCTATGACATCAAGCTCAAATTGTAATAGCACGAGATAAAGGCTTCAATATAAAATTGAGCATATAAGAATTAATTGGTATGTAACACATTTATTGCAGGAACACAGCAAGCTTAAAAGAAAAAATTAGGCTAAGGGAAATCCTTCGAAAGCAAACATTAAATCAAACATAAATTTTACTGTCATTCCAAATCTGATCTCCCACCACCTTCAAGAAAAACAAGTCCAAATAATTTTGCTTCATAAATAGTATTGTTAGATACAAAACCAATCATTAGCCTTCACATAAAAATAAGACTAATAACCTTAATATTCTAACTCCCCCTCAAGTTTAAGCTTACTAAGCTTAACCTTGTTACAAACAGAAAAACAATAAACAGAAAACAAAGAATTCCAAGATCTAAAACAACTCAGAAGAAAAGAATCACGAGGATAAAAACATCTTCGCTTGGAAGTTTCAGATAAATCTTTACTTAAGCTGTGCCTGAAGCATTGGTTTATGGTGTGAGAAATGAAAAGCATTGGAAGGGAGGGGAGTATGATTACGGAGCCATTTTAATTTTCACATCTATGAAGCAATTTGGAATGACAGAAGAGTGGAAGGGTTTAAAAATATATTCATTATCCTTACCAGGTAAGGAAAACAAGATGAAAAGGATACACGTCTATTTTTCCCATGATTCATATTCATTATCCATGTATACTAAAACAAGAAAGGTATATGGAAACATAACCAATTTGTTCTCCGAGTTGCAAATTCAAATTATTTGCATCTATTTTTGCAGATGGAAAATAAAAACCACTCCCCGTTAAACCCGACTAGCTAGTGTGGGGTGGAGGTAATCCTTGTACGCAGCCTTACCCTTGCATAATTGCAAAGAGGCTGTTTCCTGGATTCGAACCCATGACCTTTTGCAGATGGAAAATAATTAAGGGAAAACAAGGTGTTCAGTCATTTCTCCATTTTTAAGACCCTATTTATATATCATTTGAAATTATTCTTCATTGAGCAAACTACTATTGCTCCTCCTCAATGGTGAAAAAGAAAAAAGTAGGAATCAAAGATGAGAAGGCAACACTTTAAAATTTAAGAATGGAGGAATAAAACAGACAGAAAGTAAAGACATGCAACAATCACAGAAAGTCATAAATAGATAAACTTTTGAGAAGAACATTTGATAATAATTTGACAGTATTTCCAACAAGGGTGGAAATGAAACCACCTTTCTGACAACATGCTGCTCAGCCCACTTCAACCGATCCTGCAAGCAGACTACAGAACCCTCAGATTCAGATTCCCCAACCTTACCACTTCCGGACTCATCGTTAATATCCCCAGCATCTGCTGCAGATCCAGATGACTGACTACCTATTTCATTTGTCCAAATTCCCACATCACACGATGCTTTACCTCGGTTCTTACCTCTACAGATAAAGAGTGCTAAATCAAATAAGCAGACATGATCCATCATTAATATCTATCCACGCACAGAAAAACATTAAGCTATATACTTATACTTACTTGCTAGGTGACTTTTGGACTTTATAATTTGAAAAAGAGTTTCCCTTGTAGGGGTCATTCATGACTACTGATGGCAAAGAATCAGTAGAACATGTTGAAGAACTATCATCTATAACCGAACTGCTCCTTTTCTCAGACATTCCATTTTGTATTGATGAAACACCACCTATGCCATTGTTACTCGCCTCAGTTGGAGGATGAACTTCTGAAGCATCAGTATCCCAGTTAACAGGGGTAGCATCTCTGTCTTCTGAATCAGGCTGAAGCATTTCAGCAACTCCGTCCACGGAGTCAGACACATCAGAAACATCTTCCATGGCATCAGGCTTTTCAGACATAGTTTGAGCTTCCTCCATGTTAGAATCCTTTTTCTCATCAACGCTGTTATCTTCTAGGATCTTGTCATGTACAGACACAGTAGTCCTCTCCTCCCGCCCTTTATCCTTTCCTTTGCGACTGTTCCGTTTTTGTTTGGCCTGTAGTGAAAAGAAAGGAAATCTGTCAGTAATTAAAGGAAAATCAACCAACAACTCCCCTTATGCCATGCACATGACATTATTTAATCCCAAAAATAGCATGCTTGGCATAAGAAAACGGGATGTTAAGAGAAAACATCTTGGGAGAATCACAGTTTACTAAGTTCTGTCAAAAGTATTTCCAAATTAGGAAAAATTGGCCCGAAGAGTGGTTATTGGTTTACAATATTCAGAGTGGGAAATGGATTAAGCCAGGGACAGACTAAATTAAACAGTAGTACGGTTAATTGTTCCTAAACTAAAATACTTTTTGTCATAAATTTCGAAATTGTAATTATCAATAAGTCAATAGAAAGTAACAGAAGGCAATGTTGTTTTTTCATGTTGTATCAGATATCCACCTAACGCAATTTATAAGAAGGCAATGTTGGTAAAGCAACTGGCCTCAAGCATGCACCTCAAAAATAAGTATAGGCAGATCGTGTAAGACATGACCCTCGTGTGTATTTGGATTAACTTACTATTTTTTCATAATAGTAAGCTTTTGAAAAAAAAATTCCCAAGAATTTAAGCAAATCCAAACACATTATTCATTACCAAGCAATAATTCAAATATGTGAAATTCCACATCACTGCAACCAGGGTCCAATATACAAACTCACTAGCCAATGTAGCTATAAAACATCAAAAATTAGATGACTTCTTTAATACCATTTTAAAAAATAATCATACATAGGTTGCATCTACCAAGTCTAGCTACTTGATAATTTATTCGTTATCACACAATAGTTGTCATATACAGCACATGTTACGAAGTTTAATTATCTTCTGTAATGAAATTTATGAGAATGATTTAATCTTGCCTCCTTAATGACTTCTAAAATCACAATATTAACAACATCAGACAATTGCATTTCAATCTGACAGATAATCAAATAAAAAAATAAAAAACCCAATTTCTTAAGAAGAGAACCAGACAATACAGTAGCATCTGTAAAATCAACATATGGATATCTAGATATCCTTTGATAATGCAGTTTCAATGTGGGCCAGACCTGTTTTTTCTTTGACTTTTTTTCCCTCTCATTGACCCCACGTTTTGCTTTCTGATCACTTTCAGCTTCTTCACGAATGAGTTCTTCTTGTCTCTTAAAAGCAACAGCTTCCTGGTAGGCAACCTCAATTTTATTGCTGCACCCATGAAAGTAAATAACTAAAATTAGGACACCTTAATTGATGCATATTTAATACATACATGTAAAATGTACCAATAAGAAGAATGAACGGTACATATGTAGCAAAACAAAAAATATGCCACTCTTTATCTCCCAGATAGGTTATATATATGAGCCCTATCATTAGGAACTTCTCAATCTTTCCATATTCCCAATAATTTCCACTTCTCCATTCAGATGGCAATATCATAAACTGCATGAATTTCAAGCTCATTGATACAAGGGTGTTATAGAATAATATAAACCATTAAAAAGGTCCTCCCCAAAACCTTAAGGTTTTGGGTTGAAGCTTTACATGGTATCAGAGCTTCAATGACCACAAACTCACGAGTTGGATTTCACCGCCCTCCACTTGTCGAATTAAATAAGCATAAGGTAAATCAAAAAATTAGGCCTATGCAATATCCATGCTTCAAGCCCAAAGGGCTCTTGCGTGAGGAAGTGTGTTATAGAATAATATAAACCATTAAAAAGGCCCTGACCCAAAACCTTAAGGTTTTGGGTTAAAATGGTTCTTTACAAAGGGGAACATGAATTCCGATAAGGTAGTATGTCAGTGTAACTGCTTGGCAAGCACGCAGCTGAAGCAACTGAATCCTAAGTCTGAATTTTGCAGCATAATTAATCGCTATATTTTCTATTGGAAACAATTGTTAGAGATATATAAAACCATTAATGTAGCCTCACCCATTAGCTTAAGTTTTTGGGTTGAATTGGTTCTTTACATGGTATCAGAGCCTAGGTGTCACGGGTTTAATCCTCACCCCCCCTATTTAATTAATAATTAATTAAGTTTTGTAGAGTTTCTCAGCACAGATAGGTGAACCTGTGCATCGTCCACCTTTCAAGCCCAATGGACTTTCGTGTGAGGGAGCGTGTTAGAGATATATAAAACCATTAATGTAGCCTAACCCATTAGCTTAAACTTTTGGGTTGAATTGGTTCTTTACACATAGTAATTCAATGAAGTCAAATATCATGTCCTTGTCATATTCTATATATCTCAAATTCCACACTCATACAGCAATCAAGAGTACACGCTGTAGCTTCCAAATGTTATGTGATCTGCTGGAAACAAGGATTGTAGCAAAGCTCATAATCATGTATTTCTTATTAACTATCAAAGATCATGTACCCTTACAAGCAAAGACCAGATATATATTTCAAGAATCATTCCAAATATTGCCCTTTCAAGTACGATCATAGACATGGAATTCTGAAAGAAAAACGAAACACAATCCTGCAATTTGCAAAGGATGGACGACTTAACCTCATGGCATGAAGTCTAAAATCGCATAGGAGCCATGTGATGTACTCACAATCTCTTAGAAATTAGATACCACCAAAACCGACTAACGAAATTTAGACTTTACAGAAGTCTACTTCCAAATTATTATCACAAACAAACAACGTCCAGACATGCAGGAGCACTTTAAAACTTAATCTAGGAGGTGATTCAAACAAAAGCCAAGGGTATATAAACAAGCAATTAAGCTAAGAAACATGAAGAGTATGGAACTAATTGCACAACTATTGCACATTCTACCTGAATATGTGGGCAAGGACAAATATTTCCAAAGTCCTACGTCCCAATTCTGTGAGACGCCTTTCATCGCGCTCTATAGAATCTTTATTGAAGTCCTCCCCAGAGTTTCCATCCTGCAAAAAAAGGAGAAAGTTTAACAGGTTACTTTGCATTCAAAAGCATTCCAAAACTATAAAACCAAAGGTGCTTTATCCATACCCTTCTTTGCACTTTAATCTCCCATGTTACTAAGGATACAATTCTAGATGTGTAATATATGTCCAAAACTTTAACTAGGCTAATCTTTTTTAAAACAGTAAAATATATATATATATATATATTAAATATTAAAATGTACACTGTTATTTACATAAGTAAGATAATACACCTACAAAAATATGGTACAAAAAGCAGTGTGAACTCAACCTAAATTCAAATTGCAAAAGAAATGTTTCAGTTAATGACATAATCTATCAAATATATGTAAACTTTTGAATAAACCACCATCTTCATAATTGGACCTCTATTAGAGGGCTAGAAAATAGTTCCTGCAGCTAAAATCAATTTTCTATGAAATAAATCAACACTAACATCAACATCACATTTATCCCAAACAAGTTGGAGTTGACAGTCGGTGAACCCAAATAAAAAACAAGAAAAAATTGAGAAAAATAAAAAATAAAAAAGAGAGAATGAATGAATATATATATATATATATATATATATATATATATATATATATATATAGGGAAAAAGGACTAAAAAAGGTTATCTGGAATATAAAAAATAATAGGATTACCCCTCCACGATCAATCTATTTATCACTCTGTTAAGTCTCGATTTACTATTTGACCCCAAGTAAATTTTGACCAAACTCTTTCTTTCTTTGTGTTATTGTGTCATGCTCTTCGGAACAAACTTTTGTACGTACAGGAGCATTTAGGGATCTTCGAAGAATATGACAACCATCTCAATTTATGTTCTCTCATTTTTATATGTTGGCCAACATTCAACTTCATATAACATTGCAAGCCTTGCTATTGTTCATTAAAATTTTCCTTTTAGCCTTAAAAGGATTTTGCAATCACACAAACATTAATTCACGGATTCTTTTGTATATCCTTTTAGCCTTGCTATTGTTCATCATTAATCACACAAACATTTTTATATCCTTTAGACTTGCTATTGTTCATCATTTCATCCAACCAACACTTAATCTATGGCTTACATCCTCATCAATCTCTCCCCTCTTTTGTATTGATCTCATATATTTAAAAGCATCTTTCTTGGTACCTTTTGTCCTAGTATATGCACGGATTCTTGATCTCCTTCTCTTGCCATATTAAACTCACATTTCATGTATTCAATCTTAATCTAACTTAACATGAATCTAATTTATTGTTAGTACCAGTTGTGGTCTCATCAATTAGCAAAATATCATCTGCAACTGGCATACACAATGGCATCTCATCCTGGATATCTTTTGTTAGCCCATCGCATCATCCATAACAAGGGAAATAAGATAAGGACTCAAAGCAAACCTTGGGGTAAACCTACTGTTTGAAAGATAACTTGATGAGCCATTACAAGCCTTCACAAATGTAATAACATCATCATACATATCCCTGACTATCGCTACATACTTCCACACTACTTTATTCTTATCAAGAACCCACCACAAAACCTTGAGCAGAAAAATAACAAAATATGTATAAACAATCAAGGATACGTTTAATGGTGTTACATGAGTGAAGGCTTGTAAAAAAAAAAATTGTAGACATTTCTTCTGGCAGAAATTGTGTTTGCGCACTACTATAAAAGTATTTCATGGGTTTAACTTTAAGCAGGCTAGCTCCCTATGTTGGACAAAATGGGTTTTAAGGGTAACTGGCATAAATGCCCATATTAATTTCGAAAAAGAACAAAATTATCCTATTGTCATTTATTATTAGATCCCATTTAAATTAAGGTAGCGGCATAAATGTCCCTGTTAATTATGAACAAGAACAATGTTATCTTATTACGATTTATTATTAGATCCCATTCAAAATAAAGTTATTTCATATTGTTAGATATAATATAAAACCATTAGTGTGACTTTCACTTAATAGCTTAAGATTTTGGATTGAATTTATTCTTTTCATGGTATCAAAGCCTATGTGACCAAGTGGTCACGAGTTCGATTCTCATCACCCCATTCTATTTCTTGTAACGCCCGACCGCTTCAAGAATCAATGACTATCCCCACATACTAACACGAGACTTTTCAGTGTGCTTTTTCCTCACTCGCACACTTCCCGAGAAAACTTCCCAGGAGGTCACCCATCCCAGAATTGCTCCAAGTCAAGCACGCTTAACTATGGAGTTCTTCTGATCCGAGCTACCGAAAAGCAGATGCATCTTGTTAGTATAGGTACTACCAATTAATTCTTATAAGCCATTCCTAACTGTACCGTCCCATACCAGCACAGTCTCTGGAATCCCTCTCTTTCGGGTGTTGATTCGATTCATTCATGAACCCCCAAGCTGCAAGATTTGGCATGAGCCGCTCATTGTCCGTGCCCTTTCGCACCGGCGATCACTCCCTGCCTTTGCCAACTCTTGGGATGTTACATGCCCACCAGCTTCCGCCTGGTTCGTCCTCGAACCACACCGTACTGGAAGAGAGGCCCTGCTCTGATACCACTTGTAACACCCGGCCACTTCAAGAATCAACGACTATCCCCACATACTAACACGAGACTTTTCAGTGTGCTTCACCTAACAACTTAAATTTTTGGGTAGAATTGGTTCTTTACACATACCAATCCATGTAATTTGAAACAAAGCAATGAAATAGCCAAACAAAACAATTTCACAAAAACATTCCCAAACTATAAGACAAATTCTTTCAAAAGCAATTACGGGAAAATTGTTATTCTTCGAACTATGAAACTTCAAAGCAACACCAAACACATACGTAATCATTCAGAAATGATGGAATAAAAGCCAGAACAAGAAATACGAAATAGAAGCAGAAACAACCCAAGCAGCAACCCATACATAAACTGAAGAACATTTAGGCTATTAATTCCGATGACCAGCTGATGCAACAGCAATTGAGTGAAAATCAATCTTAATATGGTAATTCTCAGAATACAGTAGCATAGTTTTCAGTTTTATTTTGACCAATAGACATGATTCCGTTCTGCTTTCTTTTATCTGAAAATTCATCCTTTAAAAACTCTATTGCACTAACCATCACATTTCAATGGGCTCAACTCGCAACCATATCACCAGCTATCAAGTATCAACATATAATTCCTTAGTTACTTTTACAAACATAATTCTACATCTTACCTTTGTACGATTTTGAGGACCCTTCTCATCTTTCGGAGGCAGTGGTTCTATAGCAGCCCTTTCAAGTAGCAGTAAAACATCATCCACCAGTACAAACATATCTTTCTCCACATGAACAATAGGTGCTGGTATTTCTTCAGCGTCCAACAATTTTACCCTACCTTTCTTGCACATAGTCTGTCCTTCAAGAGCCTTCAATCCACTATACAAGGAATCCATCACCAAAGTAGAAGTAACTTCTTTCTCTATAAAGAAGTGTTTCACAACTACTTTCAAAATTACATCTGTCTTCTCTCTAGACATTTCGCACCTAGAAGTTTGGTCAATTTCCCGCCAGAAAGCAAAGAAACTGCACATGTTGCAAAAAAAACATTTGATCAGCCAATAAAATCAGACAACACAGCTTAAAGGTCTGACATAAGTGGCAAAGAATGCTAATATTATATTAATTAGGGAAACAGTTTACATTACAATCAAATGACAATATCAAATCAGATTAAATTTCTAAAAGGATGTAATATACATTTCAAAATACATATGCATAAAAACAGGTATAAACTACATGAAGTTGGCTATAATGCATCAAACCATGGTCACTGATTAGATTTGACAACAGCATTCATCCCTCTGCTGTATCTTTTCTTCCCAATAAGCCTAACATTTTTCACTTTTCTGAATTGAAGGGGAAATAAGTCAACTCAAATATTTCAGTTCAACTATTAAAGTATTATTATTGATCTAGGAGTGTGGAAAAGAAATAATTTAACAATCCTGACTTTATTAGGTGAAACTTTGGAGCAAGATAAGAATCACAGCAAACATCACATGACAAAAAAGATTACACATATACGTAAGAAGAATGACACTTTAAAGGAGAGCACAAAGTACCTCGACCACCTAGCTTTATCCTCTATCAACTTCACAAGCTTGCTTCTTCTCTCCTCCACAAAACGCCGACAAATTTGTTCTACATTTGTCAAATATACCCTAACAAGTTCTCTCCTATACTGACAGTCAAGACAACGAAAAGGCCTGTCTGATTTCTCCCTAGCAGAAACAAAAAAAAATTGTCACAGATCTGAAGCAAAAGCTCCAAGGCAAAATGCAAACAAATTAACAAGGACCTATCTGACAGCTACACAAGTTTTAAAAGGGTAAAAGTAAGAACAAAATTCAGTTTACTTAAAAAATTGAAGACAATTTGACTGTTGAAGATTCTCAAAGATTTAATCTGATATTATTTTGTTATATTATATCCCATATTTTATGGAGTGGAGAATTTTATGAGATAGGGTAGTTATTGTAGAGATATTATAGGATTTAACCAGTGACATATGAAACAATCTACTGCTGAATACAGCAATTGGCCATCACTGACAACACAAATTATTATTGAGAATCCAAGAATTCAATATGAACCAATACAAATCACAATTCTCAAAAATCTTAAACAAATTATCTAAACATATGAGTTAGTATCAGTTTACTTAGTGAACAAGATGAGGAATTAGAAAAACTCAGGATTACCCCATGATTCAAGCCTGATGACCAAAGAAGAAAAGTTGTGAGAAATACAACTTCTGTTTAGAGAAGAGAGAATGTTGAAGGAAGCATAGAAATTCAGTGAATATAGAATGAGACCTCACGGGCATTGGAACAAGTTATATGCATGTGCAATCATGAGGCTTGTCACACAAACTTTGGGTTAAAAAAGATGCACAAAAAGAATAACACTGAACAGGCCTAGTGAATATAAGTTAAAAACTTTATTGCAACAAGATAACGGAAGGTACAGGTTGACACAAATAGAATCCAAGGTTTACAGCCTCAGCAAAAAATGCTACAATAATGGCATGAACTAGTTTAGACCCAACTTGAAAAAGTAGTTTGGCATCACAAGAAGAGTATTATTTCTTGTTGGCTTAATATCTGCTATAAAAGATATTGAAGAAGACCGATTCTCCAACTAATACAATTACAAAACATTCATATGTTACTTCTTTCTGGGTAAGTAAACAAATGAAGGTGAAAACTATGTGGACAACAACCTTAATTAGTAGCGCAGCTGTACACAAGATGGTATGTGAATATTTTAATGATTCCAAATAACATAATATGTATAGAATACCTGATGACTTGAACTTGAGCTTTTATTATCAGGTTGTCAGAAGAGTCTACAAATCCATCATACACCTTTGACAGCTCCATAAACTTTTTCCATCCCCAGTCATGTTCCTTCTTCCAAAATCGATGTAATGTATCTGGAAAACTCAAGTACAAGTATCTCAATAATGCTGATAGAAAAATTGTAAGCTCCACTAATTAAGCCAATTATTAGTAAACAGACCAGAATATTTTGATTTCTTCGGGTCTTTATTGACCACAGCTATTGTAAATTGTGCAAAATGACTCCATCCTGTGTCAGCCCAAAAAGATGGAAAATAAGCCAAATACTATGAAACCAACTATAGAAGTAAAACTAATAATCATTTATGCAATCTGAAAAAGATCAAGTGTTGAACCTGGAAGAAGTTTGTCATGATTAGCTACACAAAGAAACAGCGAGAGATGATTGCAAACATCACAGCCTTGTGGATAAATTAAAATATACCTGCCACACACCAAAGAATGATTACGTCAAAATATCAATACTAACATATTCAGCAAGTATCAAGTCATAGGAATTACATCAGCAAAAAACCAGATGGGTTTATTAGACTGCATGTACCAACACTACATTAAGGGCATGAGTTCCATGAACATTTTATTATAGTCCATACTTAGGGCTCACCTTTCACAAGTGTAATAAACAAAGTATCTTTCCCTTTTATGACAAAATAGTATATATGATCACAAATTTTCTGTACATCTCTGAAAATCACGGATTATTGGCAAGACTTCATGACAGTTCTAGGGTGTTTTTGTGCAAGTCCTTTTCCAATTTTGAACTCATTTGTTGAATGGAGCTACTTGCCATCTTGATAAACCTCTTAGATATCCAAAGCCCCACCTGAGGTCAAGTCATTTTTTGGCCTGCAGTGCTTTAATAGAATTAATACAGGTTCCCGTGTCAAATAAAGCTCTTCCCTGATATGTATGCTGTTTCATGCTCTTTACCCTGCCGTTTGTAACTAATGGCATGTCTATTTACTGTTTGGCCTTTTTAAGGAATACTGGGTGTGCTAAGTCCTTGGATCAATTTTTGGTTACTAGTTACAGTAGTTTTGGTAGAAGTAAAGAGGCCTATTAACAGCCAGGAATCACACACTGATCCGTACCTTGATAGGAACACTACCCTACCGCCATAAGGCAATGTACGACCTATGCTATTATTTCGTGAATTTGGTTGGAACATCATGCTTGTATTTTAAGGGATGTTTCATTGGCTCAGCAGCTGATATGGGATAAGATTAGACGATTGACTTTTATATGGTGCAACAAAGCACATGATCTTTTTAAAAGGGTTACCTTAACAAACATGCAGAGGGATTGGGCAGCTTTGCTTCACTGATGGTTTCTCTTTTCCTTTGTTGTTTAATTTTTCCCCATTTTACTATAGAGGATCTCTATCCTCCAAATTCCTCATACTTCTTTAGACTAAATGAATTTCTTTGCGAGTAAAATTGGGATGTGTTAGAGACAAACTACAACAGTTACAGTACATCAGTGCTTTGTCAAGGCTCGAGATAAGACAACTGCCATGATGACTCAAGATCATACATGCATAACAAGAAGCTCCAGCATATACATAGGTTTGAAGGTGTAAATCAAAATGATGCAAAACGGCAAAGATACTTAAGCTCTAAAGCACACCAAATGCCACGTAGGTTCAATAAGTTTATCTAAAGCCTCATACCATTTGAAGCCGCCAACGTCAAATGCATTACTGCGAAGTTCCCTTTTGGTAATCTGAGAAAACTTTTCTATCGTCCATGTATATCTTCCATACAAATCAGAAGGTTTTGGTCCTGTGAAGTGTGGAGAAAAAAAAAAAAGATTTTTGAACAATTCTTACGGAAAAAAAAAATTAATCATGGACTCATCAAGCTAGATTCAAGAAGCAGCAAAAGCTAGATTAAAAAATCAATCATTCAAAAAAGAACATAAACCGATTGTCCAGGCAAGAGAGACAAGTTCCTACTGAATCCCCCCCCCCCCCGCAAAAAAAAATCCCTGCCTACAGTAGGTGCTTCTGTGGCAGTTGGCACAAAAGCTTAACCTATCTTATTATGATTTGTTTTCTTCCAACACATTAATTGAAGTATAATCACATCCATTCACTTGGAAAGCTTACAGCCAATATAAACTAGTAGTCCGAGAAATTTGATGATCTAATAATCTCACTACAGAACTTATGAAGCGGCAATTGAAACTTCTAAGTTCTAATAGTATATCTAAGCAATGATATCTTGGTATATACATTAAGATGATGCATACTTTGACCAACATTCAAATCATTACCTATTATTTTCTTATTCTTACAAATTAATTAACACGCTAAACCACTAATATCAAACAAAAAATAAAGGTGCAAAACATTGTCACAATTTAACATCTAATCCAAGTATTTTTTATGCCATAATTACCATCCCTAAAGCTCACACAGAAAAACACACACACAGACATGCAATATAACAACGGAAATTCAAAAACATATATAAAGGAAAAAATATAAAAAAATAAGTTACCATCATCGTCTTCATCACCAGTGTCCCAGTAAGGGGGAGAAGTAGACGTGATTCCATTCTCCACCTGCTCTGAAGACCGCCACTCAGCCAATGCTTCCCCGGATTGACAACGCTGCCCACTTGAAATTCCCTCCACAGACTTTCCCACTCCGGACTCCTCACTCACAATCCCAGCCATTCCCTGACCAAGAAATGTTTCGATAACACTTCTCTTGTAATAACACTCACTGGATAAGAATCACACAAACAAAGCTAAAATCAGCCCTTAAACCCCACATTGCATTATAAGACAGTAAATCATTCCAAAAAGAAAATTACGCGAAAAAAAAAAAAATCAATCAAATTTCGAGTATATCCATCTCCAATTGTATCTGAAAAATCATACAAAATATAACCATAATCAAATGCAAGGCGCATTGCCAAGGAAAATTGAATGTAACAGAAACAATTCAAAAGGAAAAATTGATAATCTACCAATTTGGAACAATAAGAAAACAAGCCCACCCCGTTCCTCTGAACCGATATAAATTAACCTAATAAAATGCTACCTTCCAAATTTCAGTTTCTCCAAAAAAAAAAAAAAAAATGAGAACCAAACACAAACCAAAAACCCAACCATCAATAAAAACCCTAAGACGAGATTTAAAAAAAAATAAACAAATAAACAAACAAAATAGAAACAAAACCGGATTAAAAATTCAAAAGCCAAACAAGACCAAATTCTAAATTCGATAGCCAGCTCGATGAGGCCAATTTGCATGAAACCGATAATTCCCAAAAACAATCAACGCCGAAAAAAGAACACGGAGATCCTGGGCAACAAAATTCCCAGAAGCAACAAAAAAACATTGATCAAAATCGAAGAAAAGGAACAAGAGAAAAATAAGAAAGTAAAAAAGATTGAAGAGGAAGTAGTAGCGAAATGGAAAAGATGATGGCGTGGATCGATTAGAGGCAAACGAACCTGGAATCAAAGAGCAGAGGCTTGTCAAAAGGGCACAATCCGAGCCCTGAGATTTTAGAGAGAGAAAGACGAAGTGAGAGAAAGAAAGAGAGAGGGGTTGAGCAGCAACAGGGAGCAAAGGCATAACCCAAAAAAAATAAAAAGTAAAAAATAAGATAATAATAATAAATTTTATTTGTGTTTTAATTTGGACAGATTTCATTTTATTTTATTTAAATCAACAGATTCCTTGCATAAATAACCAAACCGCCACTCTGGTTTAGTAATCTAATAATCTAATCAAATCTATTAATAATGATGATGATTAGTTTTTTCATAATAATAATCAATATGTTTTCTTGTTAAAAAGTGTGGAGATTTTTTTGAAATTGAAACAACTATAATAATAAGGTTTTATAATAAATTGATTGAATAAGAAAATAATTTTAAAATTTTAAAAATGAAATATTATATTAATATTCATCGGTAGCCAAGTTTATAAATTATAATAATAGAATTAGGTTAGATGAGGGCGTTGTTTGGGTTTGTGCTGATGAAGTTTGGTGACAAGTGTGCAAATCTGAGGAATATGAGATGAGCAGTTTCATGCTTCACAGTTCACACATTTCTATGAACGTAACCAAAGATGTCATCTTAAAACTGTAAAGAGCTTGGTTGCTTAATTAGTCCGTTATAAAAAAATAAAGAAAGCACAAACGATCTTGTGGGCCCAATAAGTTTTCTCTTTTTTTTATTTAATATCTATATTATATTATAATTCAGAGTTATTATATGAAAAGTTTTATCACGTATAATTCATACAATGATTTAGATTCTTTTTAAAAGTATAAACTTTTCATCTTAAGCAAGATTTTAAAAAAAATTAAATTATATGCATCATGGGTCAGTGAGACTTGATATATGGTGCAACCTAATTACTTTAAATGTTAAATTAATAAAATTAATTTAAATTCTAACCATGAATATCGAATTTAAAATTTTGAATTTAAATATAATCATTAAATTAGATTTAATGACAATGAAAAAAATTAAGAAAATCAATTAATTAAATTGATTGGCTAAAATCAAAGAAACCAATTAATTAAATTGATTGGCTAAAATTAGGAAAATCAATCAATTGGAATAATTTGATTAAAAAATGAAATTACCTACTATGATTGGAAGTGATGGGGTGCTAATCAAGGGGTTAATTAGCCATCATATTTAATTTCATTTTTTCCTTATTTAAATGAGATATTTTTCTTATTTTGCTTCATGCAAAACCCTAGCTGAAAATTACTCCATTCTTTAGAAAGTTGGCTTTTGAGCACATATTTCTTTTGTTCTCTGTCTATTCTTCTTCTTCTTCTCAAGTTGTTCTTCTGATTATGTAATCTAAATATGATTTTATAAAGGATCTTAATCGTACCAAGGAGAAGTAGAGGATTAAAGTTAGGGTGGTTAGGACTTGGAAGGTTCCTAATTTATATCGGAAAGATTTTGATGACAATGTGGAGATTGTTATATTGGATGAATAGGTATATTTTTGGTTTCTATTAGGCATAACTATTGTGAAATGATATAATTTTGTTTTCATTCGTGAAGGAGATATCTATTTTATTATAAATTTTGGAATTGGTTTAAATAATGACAATTTCACGCCAACTAGACATGATTATCGTCTGTCTTTCAACTTGAGGTCGATTGTTGATGCTACTTTTCCTGTGAATGGATTCGATTTTATTGATTTTGACATTATTGAGAAATAAGCACTTGACTGTCCTTATTTAGTAGGTAATGAGTTTTGTCTCTAATATTACTCACTTATTTGTTTTGTTTTTAAGATTATCTTATGTCTAACTTCTTTATTTTGTAGACGTCATTGGTTTACTGTCAGGATATGGGAAAGTTTGTGAGCATGTTGCCTCCGGTAGAAAAACGGAAATGGTTGTGTTAGAGCTTGACAACCTAAAGTATTTATGTTTATTATACGTTTATGGGGAAGGATATTGTAACAACCAATTAATATTACTACCAATCAATTTTACCGTTAGATCGATTATGTTGATCCAATAATTATATTTATTTTTATCTTTGTATGGTTATGATTCTTCATATTTAATATTTTATATTTATTTTCATCTTTGTACGGTTATGATTCCCATATGGGGAATCATATTCGTACAAAGCTGAAAGTAAATATAACCGTTGGATCAACATAATCGATCTAACGGTGAAATTGATTGGTAGTAAGTAGTAACACTAATTAGTTGTTACAATATCCTACCCTTACATTTATATAAATTTTTTCTTGGTTAAATGTGTTTAAATATATAACGAAATAGGGGACACAAGCTTAAGTGTACTTTGTGAGAGCAATATGTAGATCATGTACAAACTTTTTTGGCAGAAAATGAATCTCCTCAGAATGTGATCATAGTCTAGCTTACGAGGATAAAGGGTTTCAGGGGTATTTTTAACGATAGTTCTTTCTCATTCTATGCTTGTGTTTGAGTATATATTGTTTAATTTCTCTGCTATATTGTGTGTTTTTGTGTCTTACTGTATTTTTTTTTTTAAATGTATAGGTAAAATGGGAATAACAAATACAAAATATACCACAAGGATTCTTTTTTATTTCAATGTACCATAGATTATGGACTTCAAAAAAACATGTCGTATATACTTTTAAGAACATGTAATTTAATATACTCAGATGTGTCTTTCCAAAAAGCATTCATTTTCGCATATGCCCTAATTCTATTCTGTTATATAATTATGTTTTAGGCTTTCGTCTGATTCGATGAAAAGTAGTTTGAGGTTGACTCAGTTGTCCACTCAATCCTCATATTCTTTTGAAAATGAGTTTCTGAAAGATAAAAGAAGGAAGTGTATCAGTGATATTAAGATTTGTAGGGAGGTATATTTTCTCAACTGATGAATGTTTTCCCATATCTTTATTAGATAGTGTTTTTTGTGTTCTTATGTTTTTATTCATATGTCAGTATACGACGTGCATCACTTTTGGAACCATAAAGTCAATGGAATCAAAATACAACTGGTGGTACAAGTCCTGTAAGAAATGTCTGTATTCCGTTTGTTCTGATTTTAAAAAATGGTATTGTAAGAACTGCCAAAAACATTGGAATGATTATCATCCAAAGTAAGTAGTTGTCCTTAATGTATTTTGAATCTTAACATTTCAAAGATAAAGTATTGTGCATTTCACTTATTCCTTTGTGATGCGCAACTAAACAGTCAGTGTTAATGTCTGGCAGATTCAGTATTCTAGTGAAGGTTGTGGATAACACAGATTTTGCATCTTTTCTTCTGTTCGATAGAGACTGTGTTGCTTTGTTGAGAATGAGTGTTGTTGATTTACACGAGCAACATTTCAAAAGGGTTTGATTGTAATTCCTCCTCATTTTCTGTTAACTAAGGTTCCTTTAAGAAAAATTAATTAATTAAATTAACTTTGTATAACATTGTGATGCAGGTTGGTGATTTAGATCATTATCTGGGAAAGCTTAACTTTATTAATGAAAAATCCATGTTATTTAAAGTCAATGCGAAAAAAAAAGAATTTAGAATCATACAAAGAGCCAAAATATCAAGTTTCTAAAGTTTACTGCAGCGAAACTATTATCGCACCATACCTTAAGTCTGCAGTTGACACGAATGTATGTTATTTTCGTTTTCAAACGTTATTTGATTATATTAGTACTTTGTATTAGTTTTACAAATATTTTTAATTTTCAGGATCAAGCATATTCGATAATGCTTGCAACACTGATGTTGTATCAGCAGATCCGAGAAGAGCTGTTGTATATTTAAATTAAAATCAGATTTATCAATTAAATGTTTTTTGCGTTATTTATATAACTTTTCATATTTTTATACAATTTTAATATCTTACCAGGATAATGAGAGTCAAACATATGATAGTGGCAATGTTACTGATGTTTCCCTCACTTTGTTGTCACCATTGATTATAAAATATAATATCGTCAAGGAAGAAGATTTTAATTGTTCAGTTAATCGTACTAACAAAAAGATTAAAATAGAGAAAGGGTTAAATACTTACCCATTATTTATGTGTTTATAATTCTCTGCTACATATTATTTCTATATTCTATATCATTAATACATTATAGTGACCCCAACAATTTTATTTTTTTTAATTAGTTCTATTGATGAAGTCGGAGATACCTTGCTGAAGAAAGGGAAGTTGAGTATGGATAGAGCTGCTAGAGAAGAAGTTGTGTAGCATCAACATTGTTTTGGGTGTTATTGAACTATATATTTGGGAAATATTATATAGTTAGGAAATATACAGTGTCTTAATATTTATTTGACGCTTGATTGAACAATTGTGGATGATTGTCTAATGTTTAACATGAGGTTAAACATTAATTATTTGATGTTATGATATCTAATATAATCAAAAAAAATTGCATTTGTTTTTTTTTCTTCGTCTTCTGAAGTTAATCTTCTACAATAATTAATATACAATAATTCGCTTATCACTTGAAATTTTGAAATATTTATTCCTTTGTTTGATTATGAAAAAAAAAGTTCAATCAAATACATTTATGGTAAACCTTCTTTAACTAAAAAAAGGAAGAGACACATTCTGTATCGTAAAACTATGTTTGTCATTAAATTTTTCATTATTCATGTGTATACACTTTAACCGGCTTTTTTTAATTTATATGTATCAGGAAGTTTATTTTTTTTTATTTTTTTGTAAACTACATGTTTGTCTCTTAATCCTGATTATTTTCTGAAATCTTCTAATTTTTTTTTTCTTAAACCTTCTTTCAATGACTGATTTTTCATCTTCTCCAAAGCGGGAAGCGAGAGTGAGAAACAAAGACAGATGCCGCTAAAATCTCTTCTAAGGGATTTATTATTGCAAATTTTTAGAGTAACTAATGTAACATTTTTAGTTTTACAGATCATGATCTTCGAATATGTCTTTAAATGAACAATATATATCATAAATATATTATATTATTAAAAAAATTTAAAGACAAGTCTACTTGCTTTTAGGTCAGGCTTTTTTCTAATTTTTAAATATTGTTTTAAAAATCTAAATATGCTCTATTTAAAAAATGGAGTAAGTCAAGCCTAAAGTAGGGCATATTGTAAAA